TACATTTGCATCACATGAATTAAAAGATGAATTCTCAGTCTGATTATTTTTGAATAAAAGAATTTAAACGAGCAGATTGATTACTATAAATGAAGTATTCAAAAAGAAACGATATGTAAGATGATGCAATATTTTATTGAAGTCATTATATGCACAATATGTAAAATAATACTTGAATAATTGAAAACTTAATATTAGACTTAATAATTAGTGATTTCAGTAGTTTTATCAATTTCATTTCGGTCGATATTGCGATTTATTGATTAGATTATTTTTAAAATAACCTGAGGAATTGCAAATGAGTGATGTAGCAAAAATCATATAAAAGGTTATGAAATATAAGAAAAAAGAATTTGAAAATCATTCTTATTTTTTTTCACTACATATTCACGCATCAACATGAAATGTTATTCCATGATTTGGAATTAAATATGGTGAATAGCAATAATACCAATCTCCATTGATTTTTGAAGTTTTTGTACGATAACTGGATTTCGCAAATGTTCACGTATTGCCATAGGTTGATCTTGCATTTAGTCAAGTATTAAATACATACCTGGATCATCAAGAATTTGTTGAATTTCAGAATCAGCAAGTGCACGTTTACAGATTTCTTCAGGATCATCACTTAATCTCACTGCACATTGCTGATAACCTTCCATTGTTTCCTAAACATATTTTGTTTATATATATGATCAAAATAAAATTTATTTTTGTTTTTTTTTTCTTTATCTGATTATTTGGCTGAATTTGAAGGACTGTATTAAACGCAACCATAACCTGAGAGAAATCTTTCATGCTCATTAAAGTATGACCTTATGAAGGTAACGTTCAGCTATAAAATCAAATTGTTTAGCTAATGATTCGTTCATGCCGTGAAAACTTGCCAAATGTTGGATCAATTCTAATTTCTTCTTCAATGTCTTTCAATGTTAATTAGAATTTCAATAGTTTTATAAAACAAGCTGTTCGATTCGAATAAAGTCTTACGTCTGATGGATTTCATTTAATAGTTTCACTACAACATACGAACAATTGAAGAGATTCTATGTGAAATAGATATAAAAAAACAGTTGACTTTACGCATAATGTTTAGGTGCATTTGAATAACCAGCTTTTTGAAAAAATTCATTTCCTTTAGTCTTTTCTTGTTCAGTTAATTCCGGATTTATATAAGCTAGCCGTTCTTTTTCTTTAAGAATCTTTTCAATTTCTTAAATTTAAATTAATCTCAGAAATGAGTAGCAGCAACAGAAAAAATATACGAAATCAACAATTGATTTT